AAAAAAAAAAAAAAAAAAACACATCTTAGTAAAACCAATACCTTCTCAGCTTCGCATCGAAGCTAATAATGATAGACATAGAATAATCATCAATTTCTTAAAATTAAAGACTATCTACAGGTTTGCATCAAAGCGTTTTTTATGATAGTGATTTTAATCACTGTCAGATATCATCTATACTGAACCCGACTATAACACGTCCCCACTATGCTGGGTCTTTTTTTATTACTGTGAATGAATACTTGATAATTCTCGTCATCATTATTCCTAAAAGTACTAATTTTAATAAAAAAATCAATTTAATAATGATATTTGGTGAATATTTCAAATTGTTCAGCTTGAAAAATCAAAATTAGAAAAAAAATTTACCAAAGAACTCCCTGTAAAATTGTTATATTAGTAAAGGTCATTTTTAAGACGACTAAAAAGAAAAAAATTAAATAAAACCGTTTGATTTCTTAATTTGTATGATAATTTTGAGAGCAATATCGGGGTGTAATGATAAAAACGCTTCGATGCAAATCTGTAGATAATGTTTAATTTAAAAAAATTAATAGATTATTCCAAAATCTCAGTGATCTCCTATTTCTTTATTTATATTCTGATTTCAAGTTTTATGATTTATAAGTGTAATATATGAATAAAAAAATATATATATTTATATAATAATAATAATATATAAATATAGCTAGTACATATCTTGAAATAAATAAAATGATCCATAAATTTTTCAAAAAGTTATAGCTTTATAAAATTAAATTATAAAAAAAAATTCTTTTACAAAAATCGTATTTTTTTATTAACTTTGAAGTCCATTTTCTCCATTTAAACAAAATAATGTCCAAAGTATATTACATAAGCTTTAATTTAAGATATATATATAAATGTGTCAGTATTTCCGGAACACTTAAAAAATTAAGTTGTAAAAGGTCTACACTTAATATGCATGCTTTAGTTTTGAATCCCCGCCTCTATATATAGGTAAATGGTCCGATTTTGAAAAAAAGGATATCAAATGAAAGATTTATATTAATACTATTTTTCACGAAAAACTTGTATTAATCCATACATTTTTCAAAAAGTTATATTAATATAAAGTTAAATATGTAAAATATAAAATCGAGAATTTTCACACAAAAATAGTATTCAGTAGTCATTTTCACCATAAAAACAAAATAATGTCCGAAATTTTTTTTTTTCATTACAAAGTATATTACATACGCTTTATTTTAAGATATATATAGTTGAAAAAGTTGTCATTTTGAATCTCTCTCAGTGTGCAGATAAAGGGTCAAATTTATAAAAAAAATATATCAAATGATAGGTAAATACCTTACGTATCTAAAAAAAATTTTTATTGATTTGGTCATTTTTGAAAAAGTTATGGCAGTTATAAGTTAGTAAAAAAAATAGATAAATATGAAACTAAAAATTTAAATAATTATTACTTTAAATAATGTAATCATTACATAGAATCTTTTGAAAAATAATACTTTTTAATCTTATATTTGTTTTTTTTATCTTATATTTCAGAAGATATTAGTGAATACTTATTTCCATCAGGTGAGTAATTTATGTTAGTCAGATAACTGGTCCAGTTAGTGAACACCTCTTATGCCAAAGGTTAACACTGTCGGAATCTCTTATACTTCATTAATTTTTAATGTACATTCCTAATGTCAAAATTTAAAACACTATATGACATTTAAATATGCTATCGGTATTTAAAATTTTAAATACTCTTAATTATTTAAATTATTATGAAAATAATAATCAAGTGTTTTCTTAAACAACATATAAAATTTCAAGCTCACATATTAATCCAGTAATTATAGTTATTTGAAATAAAAATATTGTTATTTTAAAAAAGATCTCTTGTTTTTCTTGAAATATTTTATTACGTTTTATTAAAAGTAAAGGTCAAAAATGTCTAAGCAATGATCGTTTTAATCAAATAGAGAATTACTGAATCGTTTTGGTAATTATTAAACTTTATCTCATTTAACCTAAGTGTACCTATCTTGAAAAAAATTTCATTCAAGATATTTAGGATCACTTGATACTAATAGCATATAAATCAAATATTCATTAGTATTATATTTCGAACTTTTCTAGTTTAATGAAGTTTTATTATTATATAACCTTTGTTTCTGGTTTCTTAGGCTTTTTCCGAAAGTTAATCTTTAACGTATTCAAATATTCCAACTAGTTGGGGTCTTCTACCCTTATCCTAAACTTCCAATTGACATTATATATGCACATATAAGCCGTCCTCATATCGTGTTTAATAAAACCCTTCTATTTTCAACTTTCATTAACACGCTTATATTAGTTTCACGTGTATGTTGTTTGTTTGTCGTTTGTAAGTTTGTAACTCCACGCGGCACGTGTTATTATGTCGCGTATTCCGTCGTGTATGACCTTGAGACTATACTGTCGTAACGCATTCGCCCCACCCCGCTCACCACTCGTAGACATCAATATTTTCCAACCCGTAGACGCGCGCGTGTCATCAATTATATATATATATAACAAATTTTTATTGTAATTGACACAGCCCCGCGTCGTTTTACGCCGCGGTGCAAAGTCCAGCAAGTGCCGCACGGCCGACGACGTCCCGCCGTTAATGATACCGTAGTCTTCTTCTCGTTGTCAAAGTGACGTCAACAAACCGATCCGCACTCGCGCACTGTTGTCATCTACGCTGCTAACCTTTTGACGCCCGAGGATCACGCTGGACATCGCGTCTTCGACGCCAGCAAAAGTGCCGCGATATTATGCAAAGATCATATATTCCTACCGCCACTGCTAATATTAATATATATATATATATATATATTAATATTTATACGTATATAC